GTGTTGGTTTGTAGGGATTTGCTTGGTTACAGAATCTCATCATGAGCTGACATTATTTAGAGAACCATTGGAAAACGTGTGAGTACTGGACAGTAGTGACCAGCAGGTTGGGTGTGAGGACAAATACGTGCTGAAGACATTGGCTAAGGGTCGCGCTATGTCGTGAATTGGCAGAAGTTAGAATTCATGGGCCATTGGATCCGGTCCCACTCGCTCAGCGGTCTACGAGCTCGCCGGCCTTGTAACCAGAAGGTCCTGGGTTCGACCACCGGTGGCTGCGTACTGCTAAAGAGTCCCAAGCTAGGACGAAAAGGTTGTCCAGTATCCCCAGGTTTTCTAATGGTTCTCTAACTAATGTCAGCTCATGATGAAATCCTGTTCCCAACATCAGTGATTTTTTTGTAATCTACAACTCAATTCTTTTTTCCACAGTATTAACTGAACTTGCTTCTAAGCACAAAAATAACTTGAAAACAGTAAAGCTTGATATGTATAATGAATCGATACTATAGTCAATCATGAAGAATAATAACCTCAGACAACCAGTCAGGTCAATGTAATACCAAAATCAATTTATGTATGGAAACTGATTTGATTTGGCATAAAACAACACCTATGGTTGATTGGAACATAATTTTTAATAGCAATAGAGACTGAAAGTTAGCACAGTATGTTGCTAGGTAATTCAAATACATCAGAATAAATGTGTTCAAATACTAGTTCTCTCATAATCCTATGTCTTTTGAATGACTTAGCGACATGTAGTTTACCGTGAGCCGAAAAATATATTTTTCTTAACAATCTGAAACATTAAGTCTTACCAGGTACACTGGCTTTATCCCTCCTTGGGGATCGATCATTTCAGTAGACATAAGAGATGGCTATGCAAATAACGAAAAATATTTCAGTTAGTTACCAACACACTATTTAAAACGAACCAATAAAACGCATCTGACATCAACATACTTTTAACACGTGGTGTGGTGGCTCATAATCTTTTATTTAAAAATATAGTAGCTCTAGGAGGGTCTAAAGTAAAAGGCTCGCTGCTAAGTCATACAAAAAACCACATCAATAAACTAGGACTTGGATACAGTTATTCTAATGTGTGTTTTTCCTTATGAATTTATCGGTATATTTCGCGATTTGAAACGCTGCAAAGACACACTGACAGTGAAGGGACTTAGTGAGTTTCTGCCATATTCTGTCAAGCTTTCAGAAGCGAATGCTAATAGTGATACTCTGAAAAGCCGCATAAAGTATGGTGAATATCCAAAATTTTGTGACATTAAACATAAATCCTCCGCAAAATCCAGATCATCTAGAGTTTTCTAATCGGTCGTCCAGCATATTCCTGTCTCCTCGCTACCCACAGTCTGACGTATAATCTAGTCCACCACAATTAAGAATATCATCGGTGGTAATAGGCAGTCAGATTGTCTTACTCCTGTGTTCACTTCGAACGCCTTACTGAGTTTCCCGTTGTGGATCACTTGACATGTGGCAGGCATTTTCATGCAGCCAGCTGTTGAATAAGGTTGATAAATTCTTGGTCACTGCATGCCGTAGTGTTGAAGTAGTTTCCAAATTACTTCTTGGTCACGGCTGTCTGTCGAAAAGGTTTCGTCACCATTATATGTTTTCTTCTGTGATGACGATGCGTAAACTTGCAATTTGACCAGCAAATGATTTGACTTTCCTGAATCTACCTTATTCTTTTGTAGGTTCAGTTATGCATCTAGTGTATCTTTTATTCTATCCAGGATGATATGACTTAGTAATTTACTTGGCGTGGACAAGAGCATGATTTTACACCAGTTCTTGCAGAGTGAAGTGTAAGTCGCCTTTCTTGGGCAGCTTGACAAGGTAGCAATCGATGGGTACTTTTCCTTTTTTTCCAAACCTTTTGTGATAATGGAGTGAGCACAACTGCCGTAGTCTCTGGGTCCGTTTTCAGTGCTTCAAAGTGGGGTATTTCCGTCTGGTCCTGCTACCTTCCTGAATGAACTTCAGTTGCTTGGTCACATTCAGGATTTCTGCTTTCGTTGGAGGATTGGTGTTCACTGGCAGGCAGTTGTGTGCGTGCTGTTGGTGGTGGTGATGGTGGTGATATTTCTGGGCACGTTGCAGGTGATGGCTGATTCCAGAGTCCTTTAAAGTGATTAACCCATTGTTTCATTTGTTCCTCCTCCTTGGTAGCTAGGTTCCCTTCAACATCTTTTATTGGTTTCATCACCACTGTTGGTACTTTTTCGGAAAGACTTGTTTCATCTTATATGTCATAAGGTCTGTCTTACCTGCTGCCTGCCTGCTCTCCTTCATTTGCCATCCAGTGGGTCGTAGAATTGTCCGTTGTCTTTGTTAGCATTTTTCTTCATTTTTTATTCAGTCTAGTGTGCATTGAGCTCAGCCTTTCCTTCTGTTGTTTGTCTGTGCATTGAGTCATCTTCTCTATCATCCTCCTCCTCTCCTCTCTTCTATTAGTTTCGAGGTATATGTCCGTTGGCAGCCATTTCCTCTTTTATCTCTTCTTTCTTTCTTGAACAGTTGTACACATTTCCTTGAAAATCACAGTTAGTTTCAATGTTCTTCCACATAGGTTTCCTCAGTAGGAGTTTCTTCGACTTTGCTCTGATCTTATCTGTAGTGAATGTATTCCTTATTGTTTTGTCTTTCACTTTCTGAATGTCGGAATTGAGTTGTGATCTGCCTCCAGTTGTTCTGAGGGCTTTCAGCTTGGCCTTGAAGGTCCCTTGAATTTGATAATGGTTTGGGCCCAAATACGCTCCCCTTCCTTACTTTGTGTTCAGCAAGCTGCATATCCACTTCCTTGATCAGAATTGAGATGAAGTCTATCTGGTTTGTGTTGTCTGTCGGGTGAAATCAATGTTGCTTTGTGTATATCGTTGTGTTTGTACGTGCTACTTCCAATCACCGAATCATTGAAAGCGTAGAAGTCTGAGAATAATTTTCCCTTCTCAATCTTTTCGCCAGATGAGAGCCTCTCGACCCATGATGACTTCTCTTCCTGTTTTATCTGCCGCCAGTTCAGCTAACATTCATATCGCCCATGAGGATTTGGATGTCACCATTTGGGATGTTGTCCATTACTGTTTCTAATTGTGTGTGAAGATCTGCTTTCTTCACTTGTTCTGCGTTGTTTGTAGCACTGTGCGTTGAATAGTTGTGACCTTCCAACCTTCCCTTTGAGTTGAATCTTGCTATCATGATCCTGGGTGAAATTGGTTCCCCCTGCATTAGGGTTTTGGCTGCCACTGATGACAGCATGATAGACACTCACTTCCTCAGTGTGCTCGTGGGTGCCTTCTGGGTGGCTGCCTCTCCAGTTGACAAATTTGACAATTCACATCCATTCCATCTGCACTCACAGATCCCCACCACTTCTATGCCATATCTTTGCATCGCTTTGACTATCCGGACAGCCTTCACATACTCGTACATTTTACGGACATTCTACGTCCCCATTCTTATTCTTGCTTCCATCGAGAGAAGACAAATCGACTGGATGACTGGTCTCTCGAAGGCCTTCACCAGCCCACGTCGTTTCGACTATCCGAATCCAGTGGAGAATAAGTTTGTGATTTGAAGTTTTTGTATTCTTATTATATTTTTGCGCGTTGAAGTTTCTCTAGCAGTTTGATAGCTTTTGTAGTTTAGAGTTGCTAACCGCACTCTCAACGTTCCCTCCTTATCCGGACTTGGGGCCGTCTAGAAAACTAGCTATCTAGTCAACTAGGCGAAATTGGTCGTGAGAATTATATTAACAAATTATGTACCATTCCTTACGACAAAGAAAAAATTTTAAAATCAACCGAGCAGAAAGATAGAACGGAGGGTCATGAGAATATATTGTCAAAAACCTTGAAGAAGTTGAAGAACGAATCTATTATTACTACGTATATGTATGAACACTTCAAGACTTCTGGTTCAATCATTCCTCGTTGATATGGTTTTCTTAAAGTGAATAAAGATGGTGTCCCTCTGCGACTTATATTGAGTATCATTCTACAGCCAAATGGCTTGTTGAAATCCCTGAACCAGTAGGATCAAATATATGTAAACAATGTCTTTCGGACACTTTTGACTTCGTCAGTTGTGTTGATGGAATCAATGTGACCAGTAAGGATATGATTTCATTAGATGCTTGCTCTTTATTTACTAATGAACTGTTAGAAGAAAATATTTGTTGTCCATGCGATTACGTAGACCTAAAATGCATAAACAGGGTAGTGCCAGATAACTGCCTGAAGCAGTGATTATTGAGATGCACGCTTTATTTACAATTTAGATTGGATGGTGTCATTTATAATCAGAGGGATGGAGTCACCATGGGGTCTCCATTAAGACCTCTCCCAGCGGATGTCTCCATGGCGAGCTTAGAGACTGGTCCGTTGAAAGAAACAATATCGAGTTTGCATACATATAAACAACACATTGACGAGAGCACTATTTGAAAAGGTAACTGTTCAGTTGCAGAGCTTCTTGAAAAATGTAATGGTTCTCACCTATCGATGATTCTCACTAGCGAAGAAGAATCGAATTCCTCATTTCATTCCTTAGATGTGATGTTACGTGTTACGTCAGTTTACCGAAACCCAACATTTACAGTACACTAACTTTAACAGTTGGGTATCTCTGAGTAGGAAGAGAAACCTTATACGTTCTCTTCGCTCCAGAATTCGTAAAATATTCTGTAAAGATACGGTCGACATAGAACTAGAAAACATTCACTCAACTCCCTTAAATGATGGAAAGCTTAAAAGGTACTAAAGAAGACACTCTTTATGTATTTGACGTTCAAAAGTGACGCTGTTACTGAAGTGATTGAAAGTCGTTTGTCTAAATGTATGAAGTGTTGTTTTTATGCATCTGGCTTACACTTATTATTTACCAGCCAAAATATGATTTTACTTTGTTAGGGATACACTACCGCTTATGTGCACCTCTGTGTGAATATACCCATTCACATGCTGGTGTGGAGCTGATTACTTTGGAAGTTGTAAGCTTAAACGCGTAATCTATCAGGCACTACGAAATCAAAAATCTACTTTTACTGCATAACAGTGAATGCCCGGTCCGATGATTACTAACCGTCTTTATTAGTGAGGTAAATTCTAAATAGTTATTTTGTATTGGTTGCATGGTATCCTATTGTTGTTGAATGAAGTAAACATTATTTAAGCCTGAATTTATATAACTGATATTAAATAAATTACTCCACTTATGTTGATGGAATAGCTCCATTTCTTTCTTTCTGAAGCCAATGAGAATACATTTCAGTTTATATCGAAGAATGTAAAATATCCGTAAAAAGAGACGAGGATTTCGCCATCCCAAATTCTAATAAATCATTTTTTCAGCCTAAAGATAAAAAATTGTTCAACATTGGAATAGTCATCCCTTGAAACTAGTGGCTATAACTTAAGTCACACCAAGTTTGTTCTTCACCAGCTATAAATGTATGCTCAAATATATTAAATGTAAACTGTCTCATTTATTTGCCTCTGTATGCATGTAAGAGTCACCTATTTCATGATTGGGAGCAATCGGCAGGAAGCCTAGCACCTAGGTTTCGTTCTTGTTAGCAGTCGTCTGCAAGGCTTATCTGCAGCTTTGAAGGAGCTCATGCCCATTCTGGGATGCGAAACCGTGTCACCTAGGGCTGTAGTTAGAGGTATTACCATTGATCTATACGGGCTTGCGACTGACTTCCAGTAGGACTGTATTGGATACCTTGATTAAACACTAGTTAGTAACTAGTGTAATATGTCCGAGTTACCTAATCCTATATGGTAAAGTATATCAGCTTTACTTATAATTTTCAGATTTACGTCACGACAGAGAAAATACTGTTTGGAATCATCTACTTGCTAAATTTCAAATGGTTTTTTCGAGGTTATTAATAAAGTTATTTAAGTTACATATAATATAATGCTTTTTAAGTTTATAACACGGCTACCACTTTCATTATTAGTGCATAAACTCCTGATCTTTGTAATAAAAATACACAGTTATCCAATATCTTCAGCCAAGGCATATAGAATGTTTATTTACTACTCCACATGTTCTAAATTATTAAGTCGAATTTGTTACAGTTTTGGTGAAAGCAACTGAAAACAGGAACAAGATTCTGATTACATTTATTGATGACACAGGTGTCCACACCTTGCTGATGTTGACTAAATTCGTTCAGTAAAATTTACAATGTCAACACCCAGCTGGTAGACTCGTCATCAGGATTAGGGTTGAATTACCATTAGGTTGTGCTTAGTTCCCATACTTCCGCTTATGTTAAATTGGGCATACTCTCTTATTGCCAGTATGAGTTTTGTTGTTATTAATAACTTGGAATTTATTCGATTTGAGGGCTATTTCTTCTCTTTATAAACATCTTAGGTGGCTTGCGAACCGTTCGGTATGTGAGTCTTTAGTGTGGCCATGAATGTACACTGCTAATTATTCCAAAACTAGAGAGTAATTCCCAGTGTTTCGTGGTATCAGCTGTTTTCTCTTATCTAAGCAAAATGAAAGGTATTTTCAAAGAAAACATTCGTTTACAGTGAATAATCGTGTTTTCAAATTGTCTTGTACTGGTATAGGATTATAGTGAATATTTGTGGTTCAGAAAGTCAGTGTTTTACTTACATCTTCTGTGTAGCATGTTCTTTCGCAAGTATCTGTCAAAATATTTTCAAGTTACTTTCAGTGTGAGAATTATTTATTTTGTTTAAGCATCATTTCAATCAAAATAGTAAATACAAAGCAGCATTTGTGTAAAAGCATCCCTGTTTGGCGTCTTGAAAACGTAGAAAGGGAAAGGCAAAGGATGAACCTCTGCATACGTACAGAAGAGAAAGGAATGGTTAGAGAGAAGATGAACCAGTGAGAAGATGGAAGACGAAGGGAGGAACTGACCTGAATCGACAGCACACTGAATATGGCGAATAAAAATATTAGGAAGGACAAAAAACTTTTGATACACTGGGAACTGAAGAAGAACAGGCTGCAGGTCAGCGAGACCTCGATTCACTATACCAGATAACCAGGTGACTGTCCAGGAAGAGATCAACATAGATGAAACCAACGAAAGATAGTGAAAGGGACGCAAAGAAAAAAATGGGCTGATCACTTCAAACAACTCCTGAACCGACCACCACCTGCAACTCTTAATAATAATAATAATGGCTTTACACCGAACAGTACTTTTGATACAATGTGGAATTTTCACTCGTCAAGAAATACCTCCATCAGACAGACAGCTGCTAGTGAACACCAGTAGAAGTCTTAAACCCCTCGAAGCTACTGAAAGACGGTAAAGCAGCAGGGTCCGACGAAATTTCCCCGATCCACTGAAAACTAATCAAGAGACTTCGGCTCCATTCTGAATATCAGACGGCCGGCCTGAAAGAATTGGTTACAAAGGACCCCCACAGCGAAGTTACCAAGAAATAATCGCCCAAAAATGTGTAGGAGAAAATGGAGACGGGTCGGGTTCCAAATCGAGCACAGTTCGGATGGGGAATGATGAGTTTGGCCCTTGACGACGACAAAAAGCAGATGAAACTTATGGGTAATCTTGAAGCCAGATTATGATGTTTGTAGAGAATACATTGAAATGGAGACGTGTTTTTGAAGCTGTATGTTATGCCCGAAACCGAAGGAAATAATAAACTTGAGCTGGATATGAAATCTTTTCGAATAAATAGGATTTGAATTTACTTTAACAATGAATTAGAAAAATGGAAAGTTTTCGATGACATTTCCTATTTTAACGAAGAATGATTGCCGTCCACTAACAGTTATACTTGAAAATCATAGTGGAGTGTAATGAATAACAGTAAAAAGTCGCGTTAACAGTGTTATGAAGTCGGAGAGGAAAAAACAACCAAAGAGTTTGATAAGTTAAACTGCTAAACTGCTTGTTCTTCTAACTTTTATGTCCTGATGAGTATCTGTGAGATACATTTAATACATTGGCGCAATAGGTTGTTTTTTATCTAAAATGCTGATATATATTCTAATATACAATAGAAATAATAATAAATTTGTAAATACTTGTACATCATAAACAAGGTGTTATATTAAACAATATATTAAAACAATTCCAACAGTGGTGTGAACACGGGCAGTAATTTTGCTCGAAATATTACCAATAACAAAACTTTTCATTGTGTGTAAACTATTAAAATATAATTATACTTTATTTGATCTAATCCACAATGCTCAAACTTTTTACTGATATGTAGTACTTATCTTAAAAAGTCATTTCTACCATTGCATGTTTCAAACTCGTCTGTTCGAAGTATCCCATAAAAATATCTGCTAAGGTTGGAACTCTTAGATTTTTCATTCCAACTCATCAGTTTGTCTATACGTAACGCTGAACATTACCTATTTGGTGTAAATAAGTAAAAGGCATTTGAGCTCTTCCTTAATGACGTAAGTCAGTCGGAATATCAGTATAGACTGTTCCAGTATGATATTTGTAAATAATGACAATACATGGGACGAAACTTTTAGATCTCCTAGCTTCCCAGATAATTTAAAACTGTATATCAAGCAGTGCACTGACCTTACGTAATGTATATTGTCAATTCTACAACTCCAGTCACTTTCAATCTTCTGTTCTTGATTCTACGGTATCATTTATACACATATACTGACAACCTTATTGACACATTTTATCTCTTCAACTTTGATGTTTTACTACACATTATTAATAGCCTCCATTTCTATATTCAATATGTGAAATATTTGAATATTATGCATATTAATAATATTGAGAGTTTTGTAGGTTGTATGCAATGGACAGAAGCTAACGACATGAGACAATATCATACTATGATATTATTCTGTTCAATTTTCTGTTTTTGCTTTGTTCATGTCCATCAAGTGGAAAAATTGCAAGTAGTGAAGTAGACTATATGGTGTGAATTTGTTTAATATATCTCCGAAAGAACGTTTTTATAGTTTTAAGAAAGTATTAAAATCTTCGTTGTAAGGATGAGATGGGAGATAAGTAATGGTATTTAACTTGAACAACACTAACAGACTATTCATCAAACATTGGATGTGGTTTTAAAATATGAAAATAGCCTATGTGGTATAAATTAAAATGATATAAGCCAGCAAAAAATAGTATTCTCGTAAATCCACTTCAAATAAGTACAGATAATTACTGTTTTGAAAGGTCATGAATATGCTATAAGGGTCAGTTATTAGTATCATCGGGTAAAAAAATATATGAAATGATTCATCATGCAAACAAATAATTAATTATTGATATAAGTATAAAACTTCGGCACTGCGGTAGAGTATAACTCCATTATGGATAGGATTTTATTTTGATAAATCACACAGTGTTTTACAGTAATATTCACTGATGACGTTTCAAGCACAAACTATTACTCATAATCATATCAATAGTTTGTGCTGGAAATGTCATCAGTTAATATAACTGTACAACACTGTGATTTATCAAAATAAAATCTTATCTATAATGGAGAAATGATTAATTAGTTTTAAGTAATCTAAAACAGCACTGAATGATGAATATGACACATAAATAATTACCGTGAAAACTGCAGGCGCTTAAGACTGGAATTTCTTCTTGTGAGTAAGAAATTCGGGTTATGCCTGAAGTATATTTTAAAATTAAGAGTTTGAAAAAGAGAGTAAAGATGGATTATGACGCGGTTGACTGCAGATAACGGCATTAAACAAACCGCTTCTGTACATACACTTCAGGATTAGCCTTGCATACAGCAAGAGCTGTTGTCGTGAACAGAGTTCAATTCATTTTTATGCAAAACACTAAATTCCACACTTCACTTCTTAAAATAACGGTGGTATATCAAAAAGCCAGACTTATATGCACAATATGGTAAATTAAAACACATAAGGATTTCTACTCTAGCAAAAGGATAATATTGGAATAGCTCAGTGGTAACGTCTCTGACTGCAGCACCGGATGACGCGGGTTCGAATTTCAGAAGAGACATGAGTTCCTTCAAGGTTGCAGATACGCCTTGCTGATGAGTGCCAGCTAGCACGAAACCTAGTTCCAAGGCTTTCTGCCGATTGCCTCCAACCATCTAATACCATCAG